TTTCCCTTATGAGAATGAACATGATGGAAAAAATCGAGACATATGTTTAAGATAATTCTATCTGATTTCTTAATTTTAATAGCTTTATTCTGGATTTATAGTGAGGTAGTTCAGAGTGGTGACATCTGAATACCCTTGTGTAAATCAAAAGGTCTTTCCACTGATATTTCAGGAATTCCTTTGTTTTGTGGCTTTTTTATTCCCTTACAGAAAAGCAGCCTAGTTTTCTTCACTTTGTATATAAAAAGTGAACAGACACAGGCCCTTCCAGAGCACTGAAGTATTAGGAGAATATAATATTTCTTGTCAGAAACCAAGGAAAGTGTAGTCAGCATGGTCAGCACTGGTCTAGAGGATAACCAACTGGTTGGGCGATGCACAACTGCCCTTTCCACGCATTTCTCTGACCAGACTGTTACTGAGTCTAGTCCTGTGCTCACTTACAGAAGAACCTCCTTTCTATCTGATGAACTTCCCTTATCTGTTTATCATGGAAATTATTGCACAATGCATCAAGAATAGAAAAATGCTTTCTTAGATGCACAGTATCTTGCTTTTCCATTTATATTGTAACTTCACTTGCAAAGCACACTCTCAGAGAAATAAGCAGTACATCTTCTCTTCACTACCTCTGTTCAGGACACTGACAGTTATGGTCTGTTTCATATCTCCATTTAGCTGGTTTAAACCCTGAATTGCTCAATCTAAAATAATTAAATTACAACCGTAAACTTAGGGTAATTGACAACAGAATTTAATTTAAGCCTTCAGACAGTTTGAAAAGGGGAGAGGAAAGACATGTTGCAATTTTCTAGAGATATATTTTTTGTTTACATAAAATCTGACATTGTCACATTTTAATTGATTAATCTTTTGTGAACTGCGTTTTTCTGTTTCATTCAATACTTCTAAGATGGCTTCCCTGAAGAGTCAGCTTAATTTTTTTTAAGCAACTTAATTTTTTTAAGCAACTAATTGCTTAAATTCTTGTAATTAGTTACAAAAATTACAGTTAGTCTTTCAGCACCAGTGCTACCACTGTGATTTTTAATTTAGCAATGTGCTGTTCAGTGAAATGCTATAGAAACAGTTTAAAGCCTAAACCCATCACTTATTCCTACACCTGCCAATGACAGTCTTCTGTACTTGTCAGACCAAGTTAAATGACACTCCTGCAATGTATACAATATTAGTAATAAATTGGGTAATCAATCACGTGTATGGTTTGACAGTAGTACCTTGAATACGCTGAATTTAAACCACATTTTGAAGAGGCAGGAATCATTACTTTTGTACTAAGGAAAAAAATACCATATGGACATCAACAGTTTCCCAGCCACTCTGTACAATTAAAGGACACCTATGGAAATGGTTAGGCCACTGGTTAGGCCACTGGTTAGGCCACTGGAAAGCTTTTTCATTACCTTACTACAGTATGCTCTCATGGGAAACATAAGTAATTGGATATTACTTTAAATGACAGAAAAATAGTTTAACAGCAGGAGAAGAAAGGTCAGGGAAATATTAAGTAGGTTTACTCAGGTTTCTTTACATACAAAAGCGGCTATTTTGTTCCTAAAAAGCATCAGGGTAACTGTGTTAAACGTAGACTGTCCCTGCATCCGCAGTAAGTACTTTTTATGAGGAGCAATTCTAATACTTAGCACTTTGCTGCAATGAAAATTGTTGGGGCTAAATTTTGACGTGAAATCCCCGCATGACTTGTGCCCGTCTGGCTGCCATAAACAGCTCCCATACCAACTGATCCCTAGAGTCTGAATATTAACATTGATGTCTTTGCTATCCTGTGCTTCATGAGCTTTTCCTAACCCACTCGAGGAAAGTGTCTAAGTAAACTTAATTACCTGATTGTGTATATGCACCTTTGAATAATTGCTCAAGTTTTGCTTAAAATTCAGGTTGGAAAGTAAGTTCAAGAGTTTTCCCAAAATACATTTCATTGCGAAAAGAGTTTTCAGGGAAGAGGAGGAGGGTAAAGAAGGGATGTACCTGAAGATTAAAAAAATACAGCCTAATCATATTGCAAATAAATTCTGCTTAGTGCCTGCAGAAAGATGCAAAATGGAGTAGTGTATGTCAGTTATTTTATGTATACATGTCTAACTTGAACAAAATGTACCTCTTCAGATTAGATTTGCCAAAAAATTTTCAGTTTTGCAGAAAAATACCCCACCATTTACAGTGCTACATTCCTTGCTGCATATTTAAAATTTGACTCCATACTCCTCCACCACCTCAGGGGAAAAAATCTCTCTTTCACCTATTAATTGAATGAACATGCAGAGTTAAAAAAAACCCCAACCAATACCAACTTTTATTAGCTTATGATTACAAAAACACTATTGATCAGTAATTCAAATAGATTATGTTCAACGATTTGGCATTTTGGTTGGGTATTTTGGGACAAGTGGTTGGGTATTTTGATGGCTATTATTTGTTTTTAACTATACCTATTTGCCCTCATAGCTGCATTATGGAAATGAATGTAAAATATTTTTCTGCAATTACTTTTCCTCTTCTGACTCCCTCTTTTTTGCTGTAAATGTCCACGAATATATTAGTAGAAGAAATTGCTGACAAAATTTGCCTTCTGACAGTAAGTATGTCAGCAAAAAGCAGGCTCTGGAGACTATTCTCTTTCTCTGCAGAATACACAGCCTGAACTGCAAACCAGAATTGTTCTTCCACTTCTGTCTGCATCCTTAGCCTTAACTAAAATTTAATCATCTCTAAAGTAAAGGTGGGATTCAGCCCACACATTCCCTTCGCTTTGGACACTGTTAGTGAGTTTATCAATTAGTATGTTAATTAGCACCAATAGAATTCATGTCTTTGGGGAATGTAGGTGACCATCCACTGAAAAGCAGCCTCAAATCTCCATCTTTTTTTATCAATAGTTCATGAAAGTCATTGCCGTCTGATTGATTTTCTATCTGGGAAAGTTTCCATCTCCCGAGCTTATTATCTAAATCATCTAGTTTTTCTCACCCACCCCATTTTTTTAACATCATGTCAGTTTAGACTGATTCTTTTTTGTACTCAACAGGAACAATTTCTAGCACTCTTTTTACATGACAAGAGGAATTATTTTACAAGTGACTGGAATACTAGTTTCAACCATTAGGTTGACAAATGCCTCCTAAAAAGAGTTTGATTGAAGGAATATTGCTTCTGTATTTAATATTTTTATCCAGCCTGACAACAGAGGAGCAATTGACAGTAGAAGTGGTGATAGTACTGTCAATTGAATTAAGATACATTATATCTGGTTTGTCAACATTTATAATTTACAAATACATCTCTTTACCTGTGGAAAGAAAAAGAGATACTAGCTAGGGGTGACTCACATGTGATACAGAAATTCTTGTTGCCATGAAAATAACAAGAGCAATTTCTGCTCTGTTCTGCGCTAACTATTCCAAAATCAGAATAACTCCACTGAAGTCGGCCACACTCACTAGTGTTTGGAGCTAAGTAAATTAAAACAGGATGTAATCATTAGTTTCTAAAATTCTTTTGTGGGCATGGAGCACAGAGCACAAGAAAGATTATGCTGTAATAATATATTTTCCGTATACGATACCATCAGATAAGTGAAGACATACTAACATCCATAAGTTTATTTCAAAGATACAGAAGCATGTTTTCGCATATGTCTGATTGACACACGTGCAACTGCTGATGTGCATAGGAAATTTGAGTATGTACAGCATTATAACTCTGAAAATCTGGTCTTTGAGGACTCCTTTATTCTTCAGGCATACACAGTTTAAAGTAGGCTTGGCGTTACATGAAGTTAGAAGAAACAGCTCATACAAGATTGTCTTGGTGATACCAGGTCAGAAAAATGAACCATGACTTTTGTTTAACAGAAGCACAATTTATTGATGAGCTTTCTTTACCTCAGTGTGAGCATTACAGTGTATTTTACTGTCTTCCGCTTTAATGGCAGCATCATCACACAGTTCTGTTGTTAATACTGTAGAGATGGCATATGTCTCTGGGTAAGTAATCTGCCTGTTTACAATGCCATTAGGAAACCGCTGACTCCACCAGCTCACAGGCTCATTTAAACCTTTCTCTGCTTCCGACTTGCTGAGTATTTGGTATTCAACACCGCGCGAGTGATTTCCTGCAGCCTCCCCAACACAGGTTGGTGGGTTGCTAAGGAATAACTCTCAAGAGGTTAAGAGCCCTGCAGTCACCTTGATCTCAGTGCCTGTGATTATCTGTGCTAATTTTCTGCTTCATGTTTTATACCACAGCACTGACCAAAGCTTATGTCCGTCCCTTGGTATGCATAAGTGTGAACAATTATGGCTGTTGGTGGAGAGATGTACTGGTCCCTTTCACAGTACAATCTCTTTAACTTATTATTACAAACATCATCATTCAACTTAAAAAAAAAATGAAAAGAATGGAAAAGAAAAAAGCCAAGTGAGATTGGTTGGAAAAACAGAAGGTTTGTGGGGTTTTTTTCTCCTAGGTCATCTGTTTTGGGTTCTTTTTATTGTTATTGGTTCATAACCTTTTCAGTACATGTGGAGGACAACTGCTTCACATCCAGGGGAACTTTATAAAACCCCAGATCTTTAAGGGTCTCACATGATGTCTGTTAGTTGTGGAGTCTCCTTCTCTGGGGATATTCAAAACTCGCCTGGACACATTCCTGTGCAATCTTCTCTAGATGAACCTGCCTTAGCAGGGGGGTTGGATTAGATGATCTCCAGAGATCCTTTCCAACCCTGAGCGATCTGTGATTCTGTTAACTCGGCACTCAGTGAAGGACGCAACCCCAGGAGCTACAGCATGTTGCCTCTGTGTTGCCTGTGCTTCCACAGCTGCAGGTAGGATTTCAGAGGAGAGAGAGAGACAGATCATGGATATAAAGAAGGATCCACACTGGGATCCACAAAGCTTTAAACCTACCCTCTTATTCCATAAGGGTCAACATCTACAGACAAAGCCCTACAGTACTATTCCCCTTCTGTTATTTTAATGGAGGGATAAATTTAATTCCTTTATGACCAACACTTGAACCCCATCATCTTTCTTCAAGGAGACTAAGTAAAGGGAAGGGGAAAAAGGATTGAGGGCTGCTTATAGCAGCCCATCCACCTCTAGTACCCCTGGGTGCTATTCCTACACTGAGGGTCAAGTAGTTGTTGCTACATCTTTGCCAGCAGTCCGAGGTAAATAGTCGCTGTATGTGCAGAACTTTCTCTTTCCCACTCCATATGAATGGTACTTCCACACAAAAATGCCTTTTTTACCAGTGCACAGAGATCCCAGATGGTCTGTGGGGAAAGCAGAGAATCCATTTCCACCTCCTGGAGTCCCCAGCACCCATATCATGGGACATGGGACTTAATTAACAGGGATGCCTTTGAACTGTGATGGTTTCATTTACAATACACTCAGACTGGAAACACAAGCAAGCGACTCCTGTTAGCTTCTCAATTGTACTAGCAGGTTGCACTGTTATAAGACACAATATGATTGCATCTCGTATCCCAACCACGGGGTCAGTAGCCTTTTGGCAGAGAGATGGATAAGAAGGACAAATTGGGTAGTGTTTGCTGCAGCTAAAGCCATGTATATGCCCATTTCACAGGTGACTGTCATGCAACATGCAGAATACCTGCGGTTACCTCTTATCTCGGCAGCAATGGATGCTACTGAACTAAACCATGCTAAATGCAAGGCACCTTAACTTTAAGGTTAGAGGCAACTTCTGTAGCAGATCTGTTTAGACAGCTTCAGCTGTAAAACACTGTATCAAAACCACTGGGGTTTCTCTGGGTGAAAATTAGACTTGATAACAGTATCAGATGCTTCTCAAGCAATGAAATATTTTTAAAAGATAATATAATCAACCCATAAACATTTACGAGAATTCATAGATTACAGTGCCATGTGATAACCAGCCTCCAAACTGTGCTTCTAGTTTTTCCTGCTCTAGTCCCACAGATAAGCATCGGATCATGCATATTCAAACTGTCATTAGTAAAGCTGAAGGAACATAAAGAACTGAGTTCAGTTTCAAGCAGAAGTTACCTGAGCAGGCAATAGAGCAAAAGAATGAAATTCTTAGGGGCTGACTGATGTGCAAAACTGCTTCTCTCAAAAGGCAAGTATTATCCGAGATGTTAAACTAAATTAAAAAAAAAAAAATTATAAGCCACATTTTTCAACAATATAAAAATAGTGTACATGAAGAATGCTGTATGACAGGATCTCCTCAGTGGTAAAGTGACAGTGAGATCAGGAGGTAGGGAAGGAGGGAAACAGTTGGTTGCCACAACAGAAACCCTTCCCTGTGTTTTCCCTGCCCAAAACCTCCACTGCCTGTGCCTACCCTCATGTGAGGAACTTGTGAGCCTTTCCCAACCACTCGATCCTCTCTCCAGCCTACTGACTATTCACTAGCACACTCAGATCTCTGTCTGAGACCTCTGTCCCTTCTGCGCCCCATCAGCGCCACCATTCCTGGGGATGGCTTTGCCCTGTCTCTGTCACAGCATTTAAACATGAAAAGTAAGTTCCACACTCTGAAAGGCTAGTGAAGGATCAACAGTCCTTGTTGTGTTCTATGGGCCACAGTTGAGATGACACAGAAAAATAGAGCTGCCCTTCTGTCTTACTCTGACTGGTGCAAAGTCAATTATTCTTCATGGTCTTCAACCTTGAAAAACTCAATTTATCTGGTCTTTATGGAAATTAAATTAATGTCATTCCAGGTGAAAGGTTTCATGTGACAGGCCTTTTACATTTAATCTTTTTTCTTCAAATTGTCTGTTATCTTCCACTTAAAAACGTAAATTGAATATTAAGTATGGGCATATTGCAGCTATTAATCATCCACCTAAGTAAGTCCAGTATTATGTGGGTAGACAGTACAACTTATCCTATCACTAGAGATTTATGCATCTGCATCCAAGGTAGATGTGGCAAAGGTTGAAATTGTTCCCAAGAAAGCTGGAGGGAGACTTTTTACAAGGGCCTGTAGTGACAGGACAAGGGGTAATGCGTTTAAATTGAAAGAGGGGAGGTTTAGACTGGGTATCAGGAAGTTCTTTACGGAAAGGGTGGTGAAACACTGGAACAGGTTGCCCAGAGAAGCTGTGGATGCCCCATCCCTGGAAGTGTTCAAGGCCAGACTGGATGTGGCTTTGATCAACCTGGTCTAGTGGAAGGTGTCCCTGCCCATGGCAGGGGGGGTGGAACTGGATGATCTTTAAGGCCCCTTCCAACCCAAACCATTCTGTGATTCTATGATATTCCTTGATGTTCAAGAGCAAACATTATCCCTAAGTCCATTCCCTGTGAAGACAAACTTTATTAATATGTAGCTACCATCATTCATCTTCCTTTATGTTCTATGAGTCTTTTCTGCTGTGCTTTGTCCTTTCTAACTTTGTCCTTTCTACCTTTCTACTTTCTTATTCATACCTTCTGTTTTGTGATTCTTTCTTCATGTCTCTCATCACTTACTGTTCATAATCGGCCTTCTCAGGGAAGTGAAAAACTTGGGATTTGTTTTACTAGTCCCTCATCTGGCAGAGTACAAATCCTTTGTGACTTTTCCATGCAGATCATTTATTAGCCCTTTGGTTCAACTTTTTCAGATGTGTGAGATAGATAGACTTAATTGACATTTCTTCACCATAAACATAAAAAGTTGGAGTGCAGAACCAGGAAGATCAATCTAGGGTTAACTTTGCAATTGACACCTCAAAACCATTTTTTCCCTTGACCTTTGCAGTTTCCTACCTATATTTGTTTCACTTGATGATGCCTTTCTTCTCCCAGATTGGTGTACATATTCCCTTCTGAACCTGAGCAGAAAGGCATCTCTATAACACTATAGCTTGCATCATTCATTTTCCTAATTTTTTTCCTTTTCTCTTTATGATGGAAGGTTTGGCAAACTCCAGGACCAACAGCCCAAGCCTTTTCATGTTTCTCATAAATCAAATTCATTGTCTTATCTCTGCTCACCTACTCACTCATTTACCAATCTTTCATGTATTTAATAGTCTTCCTAGTCCACTAATTATGCTGTTAGCCTGGCAAATAAGAGGGCTTCAGTAGTAGTGTTCACTTCACTTGGTCACTCAGAGAATCACATTTTAATGATCCTCTAATTACAGGGCTGTCGCACTGTGTTAAATCCTTTCTCTATGTTCTGTCAACTGTTTACACTGTTCTACTTGCCCCAGACTTCACATTTCCAAATATACTGCAGTGATAGCTGACAACATCATTGACAAACATAAAGTACACGGTCTGGTTGAGGAAAAGAAGTGGAAGGACTTTGAAAAGGGGCTTGAAATGTGAAAGTAAGCCAGTATTACACAAATGTTTAATCAATGTGTATTTTTCTATAAACCAGCTCATTCTTGTTTTTCCGTGTTTTTCCACAGTGGTTATGTCTTTGATTATGATTACTACAGAGATGATTTCTACAATCGGTATGTGTGGTTATATTTTTGTACATCCTACACCATTTCTACGGTTTATTTATAATGTAATCACATCATTTGGTTAGATAGGTCTGTTCTGATTTTACATATTATTCATTTCATTATTTCTATTGTGTGCCAGAAGATGACTAATTGATTATATCACAAACAGAGAAGATTACAACCACCAAATGTACGCTCATTAAACAGCTTCTTCAGTCTTACCCTTCTCTGAGAGCTTTTGGGGCATTTTCTGTGCTGAACAGTTTAATGGCAGTTTAATTGCTCAGTGTTTCTTCCTACAGAATTCTTCCAGGCTTACTGTCACGGGAACATATAGCAACTGTAAAATTCTTCAGTATGGCACTTTTGTCTTTGTCTTTTCATCCATGACCTGAAGATGTGTTTTCCCAGACTGTTCAGAAGTCAAAGGATCTTAAGGGAAGCTAAACCACAAGTTGAACAGCATGTGTATTTCTATAGGAGGAAAAGAAGTGTAGACACCTGAGCAATTGGAAACTTCTCTTGAGTACATACATGCAGCCTAGCTCAGCATTGTGGGAATTTATTTACCTCATCTAGAGGTAACAGAATCACCACAATGCAGGGTTAGCATGGATGACCACGGGTGACCAACCTGTGATGCTGCAGTGTCTTGTCTCTCCATTACAGCAGCCTGGTTTAGCATAGGCCACGTGAGTCAGAGAGGAACAAAACATTGCTCCACCAACCTTTTCTAATCTGAGATTTCTGTTAAAATTTTTTAAGCAACAGACAATAGTAGGAGAGCGGTCTTCACCCTGAAGTTAAGCTACACTATGCTATGTACCTTTTTGTTTAGGAACACTGTAAGAAAAATTTAGAAACAATGTTTTTTCATTTTGTTTTATTCCTGGAGTTGGTTCAATTCCAGCCACTGGTTTTGGCTTTGCATGTAAATGACCATGCTCACATGTCACTTTAGCTCTGCCCACAGAGCTAAAAACAGTGAGCAATAAACACATGGAGTAAAAGCCATCAGTGCAGGTTAATCCTGCTCAGTCCAGCCTTGAAAGTAGGAGCAGCACGTATCCTGTAAAAAGTTAACTTCCATGGGTTTCTGTTTACTTTTGCCAAGGTTATTGCTCTGAATTACATCAGTGGATTTGTATGTTTTTAACAGAGTACTCTTTCTGATCTATGCCACCTGAATATTAGATACATGTCTTTAGTTCTTTTTGGGTAGGACAAATGAAAACTAAAAAGGTTACATTTCGACAACAAAAGAAATACTTACAGGCCATTAAAGGTTGTTTCTGTGGAACCTAATACCTATCTTTTGTGATTGTCTTATGGAAAACCATTGACAGTGAAATGTTTCCATCTAGTCAATAGTATAATTTTCTGATTTAGAAATCCTTCAGGATTAAGACAGAAGAAGTTTCATGGACAAAAAATATGAGGTTGGCTTCATAAGGATGGACATGCTGATCTGTTGACATAAAAAGCTTAGGAGGTTAAGGGTCTCTGTGAGATCCTCTGTGAGATGAAAAGCCCTATATGGTAGGCATGGAAAAGAAAATCCCATGGGAAGTTTGATGTACTATCAACAGCGTTATAGGAAATATAAATTAAGAAATACAATAATGATCCTTTGAATTTCTCAGCTTCTGAACTTCCTGAATTTCTGTGTCTTATCCCAAACCACAGATGTTGTTTCTAATAATCATTAATTTTCCAACTTCCCTGAAGGGAGAATACACCTATTTTATCTTGACTAAGGCATTGGTGGGGTCAAGAGTGGGTGACAATAATGGTTAGTGCTGTAAAATAAAATCTGTATGAAGACAGATTGACAAGATTAGGGCTGCACAATTTAGAAGGCTGGGTGAAAGAAAAAGTATTGTTATGTGCACATTAGTGTTTCTTGTGACAAAGAATTGCTTTAGAAATTATCATTTCTGTTTATCATATCTCATATTACAAGCACAAGGAAAACAGGCACGGTACTTCAAAACTGATAAAAGGAAGCATTTTTTTAAAGAAAGCATATCATTGAAACATGTAGAACTTGGTACAGCACAATACCAAGCCCAAAAGCTGTGCATAATTTAAAAAATAAAAGTAAGAATAGTAATATTAGATAGGAGTCCTTTTATATATTTCTAAAAAGGAAGCATATTTTTGCATTTTCACTACATTATCTAAATATGAACTATTGGAAGCTAGAAAAAAAATCACCTTCAGAGGAATAATTTCATAATGATCATTTGCATGATAGATTCCAGTTCTTCTGAAATATTTTGTTACAGTAATGTCAAATGAAAGATTGTGACCAACCAGCATATCATCCAATATTATAGAAGATAATTGACAACATACAATAATATTTCTGTTAAAATCCCCTAAAATATTTTAGCATTCATCTTCATACACAATTATTCAGTTTTGCTCACAATGGCTCACAACTGCTTATTGCATAAGAATATCCAAGAAGATGAAGTTTGAGTTCAGTGAGGGTGGCAGGATTTCTGTGACACATTTTGTAGGCAGCTATGGAAAAGGAGAGAGCTGGTGATATTGTCTGTAGCATTATGGTACAGAAAACATTAACAATCCTGGGATTTAAGCATTAGGTGTTTACTTGACAGAAAAAGGGCTAGAAGATTTTCTGCTTCCTGTTTGGTATGCTGTTAGACACTGTGGTGAGTGAATTGCTATTTCTTGTGCATCTGTTTTCAAATGTGTATCTGCCCACCTGTGTGACAGTAAGTCAGAACTGTGAAAATTAAACATGCAGTTATAAATTTCCATAATTACTAGTTGCAAGTACCATTTGAAAGAAATTCAAAATATTTTGTGAGAATGTTGCTTGTCCCTCTACTTCAGTCTGAACTGGAAAATTTAATTTTCTGAACGAACTTTTCCTGACCTGTCGTATTCAGAGCCCATAGCTTTTGTGTTCTAAATATATCTGTAGCTTTGGTTACCTTTTCTACTACTTTTATTTTCTTCTACACAGGTTAATTAGCTGCTGTTGATAACTGGTTTTAGGACTGGGGTGTTGTGTTTGGGAACACCAGTTCATTTTGATTGTAGAATTTCTTTCATTGACTGTATTTGTAATCCTCTGAATATCTACATGCTACAGTGGTTTTGTTTTGAACAAGACATTTTATTAAGCATGCTTGGACATTTTAGTGATTCTGCATCAATTCATTCTTCAGTAAAGTGAACATATGCTGGGACCTCTTTTCTATGCATTCAGAAGGACATACATGTCCCTCGTTAGAAAGGATCTTTCTATTTTACAAACTGCAGGATGGTGATAGTTGGCGTCAGAAAAGTTAATTTCTCTTTCTGTCTATAAGGATAGCAGGTAGAAAACTAGAATTTAAGCCATGCATGTAATAAAGGAACTGAAATGTCACCACGTCAAAATGTACTGCTGTTAGTTGTGTGCAATGAAATGATGTGGACCTGTGGAAAGGAGGTTATGGATTTTCTATACTGCAAATAACAGTCACATAACACATCCCCCATTGAAATTACATGAAAAATCTGAGCTATGCACCGGTCTGTGACTGAAATCTGAATATGGCACTTAATGTGCATAGGTCCTTGAAATCTAATTGGACTGCGATATAAAATGATTACAGTTTCAAAGGGTAATTTTCTCAAAGATAACATGAAAATTTAGTTGACAGGGCTTCCATGACATGAAATCACAGAAGGTGTTATGGAGTCCAGCTGACTTAATCTGTTCTAGGTTGTTTGATTACCATGGCCGTGTCCCCCCACCACCCCGTGCAGTGATTCCACTGAAGCGTCCTCGTGTGGCTGTGACAACAACTCGCAGAGGCAAAGGGGTTTTCTCCATGAAAGGAGCATCACGATCCACCTCAAGTGGGGCTTCTTCCTCAGGATCCAAATGTGAGTGGTTCATATCAGTTGGATATTATTGAAACAATGATCCTAGTAATTTCTGCAAGCAAACATCTCCCACTATGTAGCTCTGTTGTAGTTGTTTCCTACCCTCAACCTTTAGCTTGAAAACCTTTAATTACCAAAGCTGCCATGCCTTTCCTGCAAGTCAAAGGGCACATTGATGTAACTGCTGAAGGAAATCCCTTCCACAGCACTTTACCTACAGATCCCTCCCTTGGCCTCAGAAGAAGCCTGTTTAAAATCTCTTGTCATCCTGACTGCTTATGCACCTTGAGGTCTTGTGAACAGCTGTTAATAAAGGAAAGCTAATAATCTTGTTAGAGGCACACTGATTTCTGTTGAGACTTGAGGGTTATATGTGAGCTGGTGGCGGGTGGGCTGGGAAGGTGGGAGGGGATGGGGGAGATTGGGTTGTGTGTGCTTTGTTTTGCCAGATTCCTTTGAGGGTAGAAAGAGGCAAAGTGTCTTTGCCTATTCCAAAGGGAGTCCAAAACATGATTGGCAATTTGAGGCTATTTAACCCTTCTTTAGTGAGTTGGCCTTAGAAGAGCTGTTGTACAATAGACATTCCCTCCTCCATGCTCACCTAGCTCCCCACCCCATAGTATGTCCTGAGAACTTCATCTTCCTCTTCGTGCATCTTTCAGCACCCACCTGTCTTCCCCTGCCCCTTATGTGGAGTGATACTGTCCTTGGAAGCGTCACTGGAAGAGGAAGAGAAAGATCAGGTAGGGATCAGATATTAGAAAGAATGAAGGGACTGCAATAAAACACTTGCAGTACCAGGCTGGCCAATAAAGCATCATGATGTCTTACCCACAGTCATAAAATAAGTGAATACAGTAACAGTACTTCTTCCTGGAAGAGGGGTTAATTATGGCATCAACATGAACCAGTTATATACTCTGCTGGAATAACATACTCAGATCTCACACACTAGCATCTAACAGAGAAGGTGGACCTCTAGTGAGCCCATTAGGATTCATTTTTGATCCTATTGTATAATCTGATGGTATCAGAAACCTTGAAAGAAAACATGTAATAAACATGCATGACTGAAAGAATGGAAGTGTGATGATAGTGCTAAAGATAATGTTGTACACTAAGGAATGAGGAGCTCAAGCCATTCCTTGGAAAGGATGATATTCTAAGAACGACAGGCTCTGTTAACTGTACAGTTGAATCAAACACAAGTCTCCAGTGAAAAACTGGCTAGATGCCCATTACCAGTAGTGGGAGCTTTGATACCCAGCACACAGGAAGACATCTAAATTTAGGGGTCTTAATGGGGTGCTCACTCATACCCTAAGAGGATGTCTGGGAGTAACAACACTTATGTTCTCTGGAGAATGAACATGGGTCTAGAACATTTTTATACACACCTTGAACAAATCCACTTGTCCATAGCTATCTTTTTTTCTTTTCTCAATACCTTAAATAATGAATTATGATTCCTCATATTAATTTAAAAGAAAGTATACAGCTCGAGATCTTTACTTTAGTGGACTTAGAGTTTAAATTATTTTGTTAGCTTTATTCTAGCCCTTGAGTGTTTGGGTTTTCACACAGTGTATCAAAGCTTTAGTGAGTATATACACTTACAGATTCATTCATTATATCTTTGTTCATTGTTTGTTGTTGTCTTATACATATGAAAAGTTAGTAGTATCAGTGCATTCAGTTCACTAATTGTCCTAAAGCGTGGTCTAATAAGAATAGGCTTTTTGGATTCACTTGGCCTTGAGAAGTAGAATTGTTTTCAGATAAGATTTTTTTATATATATTTCTTATTGTCCAGAACAAGAATAACTCCAAAGTTTTTCTAAAGAGCTGAGAACCTCAGTATGTCCCAGTAGATGTCAAGGAAATCTCTCACCCACAAATTTGGATTCATTGTAGTGAATGGGACAAAGCATATTACATTAAGAGAGTTATCTGTTCCTCATCATAATCACTAAATTTTCTTTATTATTTATTCTGGATTTCAGAAAATGTTTCATATTGCTGTGTCAGGACTTGGATAATGCATGACGTAGAATACAGGATTCAACCGTAGTCCAAGTATCCATAGACACTTGCTATAAGACATCCAAAACATTGCCTGCTTAACATGGCAAATGGTACAGGACTTGTAAATTATTTAATGGAAGTGCAGTCAGGAGTACAGAGATCCTAACAGACAGTGTTATGCCTCTGTGACGGTATCCTTCAATGTATTCAGGTGCGAAGTGAATTCTAAAGTTGTCAGTTTTAGGGTTCCAGGTGACAAGATCATCTTTGGATGAAGCTCTTTAACACTGAAGGGAGAGCTGCAAGATGCATCACTAAAAACGTGGGCCAACATTTTAACCCCTGTTGGGTTTCTACCCTCAGTTCTTTACAATGGCAGTTGGAAAACAACTGCAGAGACTATTTATCATGCTGCAGTAAATTGCAGAAAATATTCGTTCTGCAGGCAGCACACCTTCAAAAGGAGTCAGACACACAGCATACAGACTTTCAAGCTTGATTTCCCCATAGAATTACTTCCCTTTTTGTCAAGTCCAACCAACCCATCATAAAGGTAGAAACATGATTTTGTTGACTTGGACAGGAATGTAATCAGCTTATTGTAAGACGTTTATCAGAGAAATGACTGAGCCATACCCTTAGGGGCTTCAAGTTTGAAAGTAGAGAATGTGTGTTTTGTGGCTCTTTTTGTCATTTTATTGCAAAAGTTGGTTATACTGAATTGTGGGATGAAGAAATTTAATGTTTTGTTGCCCCTTGCTCTACTCTGCTAATCCAAACTCTTTGAAATAGTGCACTGTTGATTTTAATTTTAATTTATTCCTAGCTAAATAAAGGATCTCTTCCATAAGGAGAAACATATTTTGTGGGAAGAAAGCTATTTTGGGTTTTAATGAAATTCAAGACCGTAAAACAGCTTAATTGCAGATTCAGAATTAACTATGTCAAAATGCTATTGCCTGTTCTTGAAAGATTTCATCCCCAAATAGCAAAACTCTCATGAGATAACATCCCCTAATCTACTTTTCAGATATATGTTCTCATAGCTGTTCTTCACACTCAGACTGGATCCAGAAAATGAACCCATACATGCAGTATTAAATGCATGTAACATTTGAACACAGGGGATCCCTGAGTGAAATTACAAGCATTAGAGGGACTCACTTCTGAAAACCAGCAATCCAAAGACAGAAGTTTGTTGTGGCACACAGGAAAGTTGTTATAAATATATAATACCAAAAAAGCCTTGCTCACTGATGAGTATATCTGCAAAAATAATGTCTGCCCTCCAGTGCAGTAAATTCTTGTTTTACCAGAAAGTGGCAATATGTGTTCTAAGTTTGCTTCCAAAGCACAACATAATCTAGGTGGATTTGATTTGTTTTCTGAATATATAATATTTCAAAGATCAGTTGACAATATTTTGTTTTCTTTTTAACTCCAAATACTAGGAAAAAAAAATCAACCTTTCCACATTATCAGAAGTAACTCACAAAATGAAACTGCACTTAGTAGTTCTTCATGTTAGTGCTATGAAGCAGAAGAGGTAGGTTGCTATGTAGTACTGAGAAAAGCTCATCTTTTCTGACAATATAGAAACTGAAGCTCTTAGAGTATGCACTTTTATTTTACACATATGAAAACAGGAAGAATACACTAATAAATTTTTTTATAACCAGTGTGCTTGAGATTAAGGAGTAGAAACTTAAAATGTTACAACATGTACTGAATTGTGCCTTTAAATTAATTCATTTTGATGTGTATAGTTTATATTTAGCTTCATCAGCTTACCCGTTTTCCAGTGAAATCTAAAGTAATGCAATATGATGAAATATTTTATCATATCAACATGAAGGGCTCAGATAAAAATACATGGCATTTCTTTACAAAGAAATCTGAATCATGTTTTGAGGATGAATCAATTCGTAGTTATGGCCAAAAAAAAAGTTTCACAAATACAGCTGTAATTCAACCATAGCATTTTCATTTCTAAGAATGTGATTGACCTCAATTTTAATTCTTTTGGTTTGAGCTGTATGCAGTTTGTCTCCTTCGGTGCTATATGCTTCAATGAAAGATGCATTCTGGAAGGCCTTGTATTCATGACAGAGAGCTGGAAAAGGTCACTGAATCGAATTCCTTACTCTTGCAACTACCCACATCATCCAGTCTTTTAAGCTCCATCTTAAAGCTAGTTAGGGTTTGTTTTTTATCCATCTCTGTTTCTTCTCATTTCCAGCTTAAATTGTTTTTTTTCTCATTTATTCATATCCATCTGTTTTGCCAACACCGTCTCAACCTAAAAGTGTTATTTCCTTTTACCTATTTTGTATAGGACAAATAAGCAAAACTCTTCTGTCACACTACAGGCTTTCCATTCTTATGGCCATCCTCATGGCCCTTCTCTCACCTACCTGCTCGAATACAGTGGTTCAACCTGTACACATTATTCCCGACGAGCTCTCATCAGGTCCTTGTACAGCAGCATTATCCTTTACCGTCTTTAGCAATACATCGTTTGACAGATCTCAGCACTGCATTTTCTTTCCCATGGCTGCATCACAGTGATAGCCCATTGTCAACGCGGAATTACAACCACATGCAAGGATAATTCTCTCACTGTCTCTCCCTGCTGATGAGCCTCGATGTTACGAATAGGAGTTCTGCTGTAAGTCAGTCAAGTGTAGGACTTCTTTTCAGTGCAATTGCATGTAATCTTTTTTCTAAAGTAACATTCCTTAAAATCACCTAACTCCTATTCCATTTCACTCTGAATAGATAATACTTTCTGATTTCATGTCAGCAGCAAATTCGCCTTGTTTATTTACTTTTTTACATCAAAGCTGTTGATGATATTCAGCCATTTTGGTGCCAGTGCTCGAGGAACTTCATTAGGAATTTCTTTCCCTTTCAATACATGCATTACTGTCACCTGCTGGCCTTTGCTTATCTGCTAATAGGAAAAAAAAAAAAAAAAAGCAGCAAGCTATTTTATTTTCCTATTCTAGTACTCAAAAGCAGACGAACAGATATTTTGGACACATGCAACTCTGGTTTCATGTTTATCAACTCTGATTTCATGTTTATCAACTGCTTTATTTCTTGCCTGAGATCAATTTAAAAATTGTCCATGGAGTTTTAAAAGAGAATTTATATGCTCAAAGCAGTACACCTGAGGTGCAGTATTTACAGTCTTTACATTTTGGTTTTGTCATAACACTGTGTTTAAGAAGCCTAAAGTTCTTCCCAATCTCTATACCACAGAATCACAAAATTACAGAATGGTTGAGTTTGGAAGGGACCTCTGGAGCATATCTGTCCCAACTGTCCTGCTCAAGCAGGGTCACCTACAGCAGGTTTCCCAGGACTCTACAACTTCTCTGGGTCGCCTGTGCAAGTGTTTGATAACTGTCACAGGAAAAAAAAAAAAAAAAACCAAACACACCAGCAAAAAACCTTTCTCTTGTGTTTAGATGAAATTTCATATGCTTTAGTTTGTGCCAATGGACTTTGACCTATTAGGGGGCACTACTGAGAAGAGTCTGGCGTCGTCTTCTTCATTCGCTCTTGTACTAGGGATCTCAAAACTGGACACAGTACTCCAGATATGGCATCACTAGCACTGGTTAGAGGGAAAGGATCATCTCCCTCAACTTGCTGGCAACTTCTCCTAATGCAACCCAGGATACTGATGGCCATCTTTGTCACAAGGCTGTGTTGCTGGCTCATGTTCAACTTGTTGTCCATCAGGACCCTTCATAATTTGTCTTTAGTAATTGCTGCTAACTACAGAAATACCCAGTACAATATAACTGAGATTGGAATTACTCTAGGAGAATCATTCTGAAGAATTGTGAAATTCCCTGAAAATTAAATCAGTAAACAACTCAAATAACTACACCATCACAGTGTTGGAACCAGGGTGGAAATGTGGAGTTTATTTTGCATATTTGTTGAAAACCTTACTCCTTTTTTCTTTCAGTCCTTTTTATTGTTAACTTGAAGTGACTGACTTTATGATTGAAGCTTCTCTTTAATGGCCTTATCAAACATGAATGATAAATTGCAGATTCAGTGACCAAAGTTTAAGTAAATAATTTTGGCATAGGCAAATATTGCAAGGTAGCGATAAAGCTCCTCAGTTGTTTATAGCATCCTTGCTTACTGTTGAATACTCACTGTTGTGTCAGTGTTCCCTGTGATGCAGTCCTCTTCCCAAACTGATTTCTCACTGAGACATCTCAGGCAAGTCCCTGTGAAGCAGAAGGTTTGGCCTCAGCTGAACAGTAACCCTCCATATCTGCCTGTTTCCTCACCAAAATCAGAAGTACAAATGATTTCTGCTTTGCTTTAGAGACTGGAAACAAATGTCATTATGTCCTTGTGGTGTCTGTTCTGACTTTTGATCTTTTAGCTTTGGCAAGGCTGCTCTTTGCCAGTCAAGGGAGACATCTAACCCAACAGCTTGGCTGCATCTATTGCCAGCTGGGTTCATAGCAGGTTGCTAGGGATGCTTAGCATTTCCTGTTGAACAGATTCACACCATTTCACCCTGGAATCTACACTGCCTTGCCTGGACCAACCACAGTCCCCAGGGAAGCAGTAACCTTCTAAACATACAGTTGCCAGAATTTTAACATTTTGTTACAGATCTGGAGGATTGGACAGTAACCCATTATTTCTCTAAGATCATTTTAAGGCCTTGCTTTATAAATATACTGAATAATTTCATCAAATACTGCGTAGCATGTAAGGGTCTAGCACAAAGACTACTTTTAAGATTTATTCTCCAAGGCCTACCATTCATTCAATACAAGATCAGGGGTTTCAGTACAAGATAGGCGATTTCTCAATATGAGCACGTAATTAAACAAGTTCATTACCACATATAGCAACCTACTGCCATTAGCCAACTTGTTACAAAGATAATTAATGCACATGACCCAAACTCTAAGATAAAAATCCTTAGTTTCAACCTCAATGAATGTGCTCCAAGTTTGTAATAAGGCTGATTTAAAGGCAAACACATACTCATTTACTAACAGTGAAGCAGGCAGTAGTTTGCCTGCACATTTCATCATCAGATTTTGACCATCCAGTAAAAAACACTCATGAGATACCATGATGAGAATCTTGCCCACAAGTCAATCAACAGAACTGTTAATACAAGATTAAACCAGAAGACCTTAGGACAGGAAGGGAACACGTCTACGTGCATGGCAAAACATCATATCGTATCATCATATCATATCATATCATAAAATGATTCTATGATAGAATGGTTTGGGTTGGAAGGGACCTTAAAGACCATCTAGTTCCAACCCCCCTGCCATGGGCAGGGACACCTTCCACTAGACCAGGTTGCTCAAAGCCTCATCCAGCCTGGCCTTGAACACTTCCAGGGGTGGGGCATCCACAGCTTCTCTGGGCAACCTGTTCCACTGCTTCACCCCCCTCTCCGGGAAGAATTTCTTCCTTATATGTAATCTAAATCCACCCTCTTTCAGTTTAAAACCTTAACGCCCTTCTCCCAGGCTCACTAAAGGCCCTCCCATTGCTCCAGGCACACACCTCAAAGTCATTGCACATTCTGTTTCAGCAATGGTAAGGATGGAAGAGTAACACTGCTCAGTGCTTTTCCGTTGCCAGTTCCTCACAGTTTAAGGTGATGATCCAGTTCTTTCTACAAGAATTGTAAGAGTGACAGCTGCCTTATCTACTGTTGACCTCTATACATGGCTTTATTATCCCATGATAGCACAGGGTTCACCTTTTGTCCTTTTCACCTTTCAACATGATATCCTAGCACAAATCGAAGTGGATCTGTTTGGACTTTGTTCTGGGTATAAAAAAAATGTCCTGATAATGCCATAATAATGAGATCATTCATGAGTGCTGCAGTACTTTTTCTTCTGAAGCCAAAACATCTCCAAAGCTGTTACTCCTTACATTAGACAACAAGAGCGCAATAAAGCGCATAAATGAAGAGCAAAGCAATGCAACAAAGATTTGGAAAATTCAGCTCTTACTTTATGGGCATTGCCTACGTGTCCCTCAATGTGGTCTTAAAAAGAATATTTTCATATGTTATCTATAGCTGGGAAAATGTACAAGAAATTACCAGAACTGAAAGCTTTTGAAGCAGTAATACTTAATGTCTTCTACTGCAACAAAGTTGTTGACTGGGATATAACATTACATTCCTGGCTACGGTAGCAGGTACCATGCGCTCTTGTTGAAAAATAACTACTGCTACTCTGAGCAATCTTTTCATTATTGTTGTTATTATTACAAAATAGTCCAGCAAAATAGCTCTGCAAGAATGTGAACTGTCATATTTGAATCATTCTTAGGCTATAAGCTGGTTTTGAGTAAAAGTCACTTGGATTTACCAAGAATGCCCTTGAGATGTTTTGCCTGAAATGCTTATTACAGAGCAATACACCTCACATAACCCCGTGCCACTAGGGTTTAGTATCATGTGATTTTCTAGGATTCAGCATTTTTAACTAATACTGTTCACTTTGGAAGTTAAATTTCTAAAAATACTGACAGAAATGAGATAACAGACTTTGTGCTAGAGAGAAATGAAAAAAACAACATGTTTTTCCATGGGGGTGGGGGGGCCTGTAAATATAGTTTATTTCATGTTTTGCATCTTTGCTCTCTTTCCACAGTGAAATCAGATGAATTGCAAACAATCAAGAAGGAATTAACCCAAATCAAAACAAAAATTGACTCTTTGCTAGGGAGACTGGAAAAGATTGAAAAGCAGCAAAAAGCTGAAGCAGGTAGGTGAAAGAAATTTGTTGTCACCTGAATTAAATTAGAACATAGTTATCAGTCAAGCAGACAGACCAGAAGGCACAGAACCCTTCCAGAAATTTTGCTACATAATGGAGACCTGAAGCAAGGTAAATTACCTCTCAGGTAGAACTGTTGGGAGGATAAATTAATATTTTTCACAGAAAATGCAACAACATTTCAAGAATTTTTTTTTTTGGGGTGGGGGGGAAGAAAATATTTTTACTGGATGTTCTGGAAACAAAACATAACTAACAAATTGACTGAACAGAATTAAGTTAGAGGCTGTTGACCTAGGGGATGCTTGTGCTGTCCACATTAATATTTATTATGTGGTCTGTATCAAGAATTATTGCCTGGGCTATAGGCAATAGCCACGAGTTGCAGCAAGGGAAATCCTGTTTGATATGAGGAAAAGAGGTGCAACTAAGCAGTAGAGCAGGCTACCCTAGAGAGACCAGAGTGGTTCCAGACTTGGAGATATTCAAAACTCATTGTGCCAAGGCCCATGGACCTGGACCAAACTTTAAGTTTGGCCCTTCTTTGAGGAGGTGTTGGACCTGGAGACTCCAAAGGTCCCTTCTAACCTAAGATCTTCTGTGAAGCTGTGGCACCTCTGTAAAACCAGCCACACCTCTAGTTCAGCTTTTCTCTAGCTTGAAATGTTCTGTTTTGAGGCAAACCTTGGGAATGACAAAATCCAATGCCGCTTTCTGATTTAATAAAGATCTTTATTTCTTTCATTGCAGTGATCATTTTGTTACCTGAATGATCTCACCTGACAGCACTTTAAAGCCATACTGAGCAGTTATAAGGGATTTATAAGCTTATATTTTCACACAGTACATAGAAACCAATCTCAGTTCTTACCACTGTCTATGGTATTTCCTTGCCTATTTCCCTATAAATCACATGGTATATGTCTGTACAGGAGCTGTGTACTAGAAAGCTTATTTTGATGAGAATGGTGAAATGGAAGAGATTACCTTGTAAAAAATCTCAGTGTTCCTATCCCCCCTCCATTCTCTGCTGAAACATTTTTATGTATTTTGTGTGAAATTTGTGAAAGACATTCTGCCTCAAAATCCACAGCTGCCTGGGTGTCTGGGCACTCAGATTTGTGTCCCTTGCATAATTCCAGTCAGCTACGTGAAGCCAAAAAGGCCCAACAGGACACATAAAGAGAGCTCCATCAAGACTGTCTAAAACATTGGTGGGAATTAGCAGTTGAGGTTCATCAACCTGACAGGGGAAAAATAGATATTTTGATCTGAATCCTTCTTGTTCCCATGCCCACCCTATTTGCTGATCTGTTATGAGGGTGTCTCTCTGAACCCAGAAGTTTCCTGTTGGCATTCAGAAATATCTCTAAGAAGTGTCTTTCTAGGGCAGAACACTATAGAAAAATATTTTGCAGTTAACAGTTTTTTTAAAAAAATACATAAATAAAACACCACACCAGAAGCTCACAAAGCCAAAACCAGCTCTTAAAAAAACCTAACTTTTATTTACAGTTATTTTCTAAGTTGACAGACAAGGACCAATTCCTCAGCTGTTATAGTTTGCCCCACAAAATAAGTTGATTGCTTTTTTCCAAGTCTAAGGTAAACCATTAGTATAGAGCATTATTATCTCTTTTATGAGAACTGTAAAAAATATGTATTCATTATATTCTATTTTTTTCTTTATGCAAGTGAGATAAACTTTGGTATAATCAATGAAGATGTAATTGCAAGGCACTCCATTGAATCACTTGTGTACTGAAATACTCTGAGATGGAGCATCCCTACTTCAGGGAACTTTTATATAAAACACATCAGTATGCAAAACAACCTGCATGTCATTGTACTTTGATATCCAATTTTCACTTTTTCTAAAGGACTGTAGTGAACTCATTTAAATAGAAATCAGCTCAAAGGGGAAAACGTTGGTTTCTATTGAATCATACTGTTATGCCTTTTGAAGACAAGCAATGAGTAATCTCCTCGGAGATTAAAAACTGATTCCAAATTGTTGATGTTTTAAAACATCAGATGCAAAACCTATCCCCATATTCCTTGCTTATCATCAGAGGGTGTGAGGAGAAAAAATACCTCAGACACCAGTAAACCTGGATCCTCATTTTAGTCTCCTGAGCTGATGAAGAGGATTATGCAGTTTTAGTGATTAGTCTGCAGATGATTGCTTCCTCAGCTAAAAGATTTGTATAAGATAAGTCTACATCAGTAGACTTCATTTATGGTGGTGTTGGAATTTAACCTTGGCTAGCATTTACATACCGTGCAGTACTCGCTCACCTCCTCCCCTCCTACAGTGAAGGAGGAGAATTGGAGAAAAGACAAGGAAGC